TGGGGTTTCTGGATAACCTCTGCGAAATTGGGTGGTTTTTGGTTCGTGGGTTGGGACTGAATGGTTGGAATTTGCTGATTTTAAGATCCTTTTGTCTTATTCCCAATCTGTTGTTTGGGGCGTTGGTTGTGATTGTGGGTGTTTGGTTAATTGGGACTGTTTAGGACTGGGAAATGTGTGATGAGAGAGGCTTGGATTCAAGCTGATAACTGATTGAATGGCTTGAATTGTACTGTGTTCTTTTGCGGGTGGGGGAAAAAATATCGAATTTAACTGATACAATCACGAATTGTACTGTGTTCTTTTGCCGCCGGGGGGGGGGGGGGGGGCGGAATATTGAATTTAACTGATACAATCACATTTTTAGGGTGTTTGGCTGAATAAAAAATAAAACGTAGCTTTTTAAGAACAAAGAAGCGACTTTTCCAACAATTTAGGGAATCCATGGTTTAAACAGACCAACTTCTTGTGCTATAGGATTTGACCAACTTCTTGTGCTATAGGATTTGAGTGTAATACATTTGTGAGACGAACAGAATTTGTCCACTAACTTGAAGTTTTCGTGGAAGCCACTGTGAGAGCGATAACATGTCAGTTTGTTTTGATCACTCAAAACCTTTTTCTATGAATTGGAACATTAGTGTATGAGATTTGCTGAGTACTAGTGTTGGTTGGAGTTGTGAGGGTCTGAGGTTATTTTCTACTGAGAGAAAAAGATGACTTTGGTGGTGGGATTTATACTTTAACGGGGTGATAGTCTGTTCTTGCAATGAGGGTTCCTGATGAAAAGTGGTACACATATATGCGAATATTCATGCATTTCCATATAAAGGTTTTACAGTTATATTTAAGCAATGGCCTTTACATGGACTGCTGGACCATTTTTTGAACGACTGTTTACAGAAGGCTTCATGGGCTTGGTTTATATTGTGGATTCATTATGTGAGCATCTATTGTGTGTATGAGGTCAGAAAGCTTTGTTCATAATTTTATATATTTTTGGTTGGTTGGAGGCGACAGAGTTCAGAAATGTATTGGATGATTGTATCATGATCTTTCTTTCTATTGTGTACTGTTTACTTTGTCGTATGCAAGGGTTTGTGTTGTTTATTCATTTTCAGATTGGGTCATGTGGTATGGTTGCTCATTTATTTTCTTTATTCTGTGGCATTCCCTAGTGTTGAACTTGATGGCTCATTGGGGGATGCTGAGGCACTTAAGGAATCTGGCTCAAAAAAGAGGTACAAAACTTGAATTTTCTCATCGAAGAGATCACCATGTGTAACCACTTCAAAAAGCGTATTCTCATTCTCTTTTATGTACTTTATACCTTGTCATAGTTGACTATTTTCTTTAGGGAACTTTAACGAAAAGCTCTCGGTACTGTTCACTTTAATGAAAAACCATATTTTTACACTAAAAAGTCAATCCTGGTACTATTCACTTTACTCTTTATTTTGTCCTTATCGTTAAAACTCAAAGTTTTCAAGCCCTTTTCATTAGTTTTCCTTTTTGTTTAATGCATGTGCTGCTGTGCAAGAGATCATGAATTTGTGCTACAGCAGCCTTAGTCGAGGATGCTAAACTAAAGTTTATAATGATCTGTTCTATCACTAACTTGCATGCTTACTGTCACCATCTATCTGTGGTTTTTCAATCCTGGATGATTTAATTTCTTATTTTCTTTCAATATGGTTTTAAAACACCTCATGTCATATCTCCACAAATTATCAATAATTGTTCTGAAAATCACCACCTAGAAGTTACATGTTAGTATTACAAGTGAGTTCATCAAAAGCTAGGAAGTTTGTTTAAATTCATCTTATTCCAGCTGTCTTCCTCTGTCTGTTGCTTTTTTCTCGTTGCAGGGTCAGATCTGAATCATGCAGTGGAACAAGCTCGAAGGCATGTAGGGAGAAGTTGCGAAGGGACAGGCTAAATGACAAGTACATTCTATTGTTCTCTTTCGTTTATTAGTCCCCTTCTCTTCCTCTTGTTTGAGGCAGGCTTGTCTTATCACTTAACATGTACCAATAATAGGTTTGTGGAATTAGGCTCCATTTTGGAGCCTGGAAGGCCCCCCAAGACAGACAAGGCTGCCATTCTGGTTGATGCTGTACGAATGGTGAATCAATTACGTGGTGAAGCCCAGAAGTTGAAGGACACAAATTCAGGCCTCCAGGAGAAGATCAAGGAATTGAAGGTAAGCCTTTGTTTCTTTTGATAGAAAATTTGAGGATGGATCACGTGTAAAAACCCTTAAATTCTAGATGGTTTGTACTCTTTATTCTACCTGGTAGAAGTTGATAGGACATACGGACTTAGATAAAAAAACTGCGGATGTGACAACGTGCAAGACATGTTTTCCCTTGTGCAGACAGAAAAGAATGAACTTCGCGATGAGAAGCAGAGGCTGAAATCAGAGAAAGAGAAGTTGGAACAGCAACTGAAATCCATGACTGCGCAGCCTGGCTTTTTGCCTCCCCCTCCTGGAATTCCTGCTGCATTTGCGGCTCAAGGCCAAGCTCACGGCAACAAGTTGGTGCCTTTCATTGGTTACCCCGGGGTTGCCATGTGGCAATTCATGCCACCTGCCGCTGTGGATACTTCGCAGGATCATGTACTCCGCCCACCGGTTGCTTAAGTCCGGCTTAATCTAAAATGATTGGGGTGGTGATTCGGGATAACATTTTGTCCCAAACAAATGTATTATTATCGTGTCATTGTTCATGTATTTTTGTTTTAACTATGTACTAACTGAATTTGGTGGGTGAATTGACTGTATTTGCAACTGCAATTGCAAACCTGGCTACTTTTATGAATTAGTATGCTGGTATTTACATGTAAATCGTATGAACTATTAAGTTAATCTCGCAACTTCTCGTTACCAATTTTTAGGATGCTTTAGATGTTAATCATCTCATGCACGTTGTCGATTCGGACCTATATGGAGCGTCTTCACCACAATGTGCGGCCCAATAATACAGAATTCTCGACACTGCGCGGTAGTGAACGCCTTTATTTTATGTTAGTAGCTCTTGAAGGTTGCCTTCTCTCCAGATGGCTCCATCCCAATTTCTGTAGACGTATGACCGGTAGGAGAGCTCCTAGATAAGTGGTAGATTGCTCGTCCCCAAATGAAGAGCAACTTTCATCAGTGATGCAATGGTGGTGGTATCACAGGTCTATTATACACTACTACGTATTTTAACATTCTTATATAGCGATGCGTGATTGACTTGAAATACTGTCATTGCATTGACCAGTTACATCGAAGTTCTCCGAGAACTAGAAATTAGGAGTCATGTTGTCGTAGAAACTAAACAAAGATGAACCAACAAACGCTTGCAAAAAACCGAAGTTAAAAAAGTAACAAAAAGTGGAAGTGCTTTTGCAACCTTATCACGAAGTGCTTCTGGCGAACTACCTATTTTCGGCTTTCTTCCCCTACTCTGTTAAAACGCTCAAATGGCTTCCAACCTTCCCAAAATCCACACAAAAACCATCAAAACTCCAAACACCACCACACAACACCCACCAAACACCACCACCACCCACCCCACCCACCCCCCCCCCCCCCTCCTCCTCCTCTCCCCTCTTCCCCCCAAAACACAATTCCCATTCCCATTTCCCAAACACCACCAAAACACTCGCATCTCCATCCCTTCAACCCTCCTCCAAAACCCAAAATTACCACTCTATCCGCACTCTGCTCCTCCTTGTCCTCCTCCCCCACCCCTCCAACCTCCAAAGAAGCCGCCATCAAAAAAGCCAAAACCTGCCTCTCCACCACCCTCTCCAAGCCCCTCAACAATCTTCGCCTCACCACCAAGCTCAAGAAGCCCAAACAACCCCGATTCCGACTCGAAATCCCCCTCGCCGACGACTGCCCGGAATCCCTCTCCCACCTCGCCCTCCAACTCTTCCAAGACCTACCCATAAAACGAATATCCTCCAAAGTCAACGTCTTGATCGCATGGTCGAACGCAGCCTTCGCAGAAGCCGCATTGAAAGCCTTTGGGGCTTGCCCTTCGAGCCCGGTTGAGCATTCGGACATTTCCTCCATCGCCGACGATAATACCGGAAATTTGAATTCTGCTGACGTGGCGGTGTTTTTGGCGCCAGATGGAACCCAACTGGCGGTTACAAAAACGGTCACTGATTTGTTGTTCCGTGGCCGGTGGTGATCTTCAACCCCAAGTGGGCGTTTGAGGAGGAGGCAGAGTTGGGCGAGCTCGGCGGGTTTGTGAATTCGTTTGAGGTGATTTTTTAGTTCGTGGGTTTGGAGGTGAAGGGGCTTTTGAGCAGAAGGAGGGGAATTGAAGGTGTTTCGACGTTTAAATCGCGGTCCTCGATGGGTGAAGTTCAGAACGTTTTGTATAAGTTGGTGGCCATTAATTCACCTGTGACGAAATCAGTGAAGTTTTTCAGGGATTTGGTGTCGAATGTGACTGGAAACAAGTAAGTTTTCTTCAAGGACTGTTTGTATACTCTCTGATTGATAAGTTTTGAATGTGTACGAGGTGTTTGTTGAATTGTGTGACTTTTACATGTCCTGAGCTCGCGGTTGTGTATTTTGTTGATTACAAGGGAAAGAATTTGGATTTGTGTTTATGGATTCATCATTCAATCTTGCTATATATGTTCTCTGTCTTCATTGTAAGCTATAGAGGCAAATGTCCTCGTAAAATGATTGCTTTTCGAGTATGTACAGGGGAGAGAGACTCTTACTACGCAGGCTTTCTGCCATCCTCACTCAAGGGTCTCGATACTCATTAATGGCCAGACTAGTTATGATTTCTATAAATTTAACAGTCGGTAGGAAAAACCGAATCCTGATGCTGTCCTTCCAGCCACCTTGTTAACTTGGCACCGGGAATGCACCGTGCTTTCCATTAAGCGTAGGCAAGCAATTCGTAGTTAAACGTATTTCTGACCCTTTCAGTGCTCTTTCTAATTGTTGTCCAAAGAAACAAACTTCCCTCTCTTTATCTCATGTATTTGAATCTTATGAAGTATGTGGTCTTGTATTTTATTGCATGTACTACTTCTAACATATAGTCGTTAAACAAAACTGTACGATCGGAAGTTCTAATCACCGTGTAAGGGGAAAAAGGAAAGAAGAATACAGAGTGATAGGTGAAGGAATGTGCACTGAGGGAAGCGAGTTCCGCGTATCAGAGGCCCCTGCTGTTTTTTCATCTTGCATTTAAGTATTGAACGCCGTGAATTGGGGAAGAACTCTCTCTCATTTTCCTTTGCCTCATATACAATACACTCTTATCATCAACATTTTCGATATATTCCTCTGAAAATCCAACTTAGGTTGCCGTGATATGACAGCCCTTGATGAATTTATCTGAGAAATTGACATATTTTGCCCAAAATGGCCGAAGTTTTGGAAATGCAATATCTAGCCAGGGCTTTGCTCTCCCGTTGAAATGGATGACACCGGCACTCTTAACATCGGCAGAACTTGTGTTTTCCTGATATCCCAGTCCCAACATGTGCCAGAATGGATCGATAACATGGACATGCCCGTGGAATGCTATTAGGCCGGGGGGCAACGTTCCTAGCTGCCAAAGGCTCAGGTCTGATTTCAAGTTCTGCATAAAGATAAGGATCATAAGATAGGATGATTTTTAGTAGACAGTAACGCATTTTCTCGCTAAATTCTTCTTGGGCAATTTTGAAAGTTACAAAGTTAAAACTTCTTTCACCTGTTCAAGCCAATGGTGGTACGTGAGGCTTATGTTGGTTTTTCTCCAAGCATCTAGGTCGAAGATGTTCATGCCATAAGCCCAGGCACATGTCTTGGGGTTGAAATTCTTAGATATCAAGGGATGAGAGAAGTTCAGATAACTCTTAAACCGCTTCGACATCACAAAGTTATCTTCTCCCTTGCATGTCTCAACTGCTCCATTGACCTTTCCATTCATTTCGATATCCCATAGCGGTGAAAGATCAGTTTGAACGACTATGTCGTCGTCCAAGAACACTATCTTATTAAGACTAGGAAACAGCTGCATTGAGATTTAGTGTAGATTAGCACGAATTGGAGAGAAAATGCAGCAATTTGTCTAGGAAAAATAGGCTTATGGAAGCACTATAAAATGTCGTAGACGCTATTAAACCATTGTTAAGCATGCTACCTCTGGTAGATGTATTCTGATGTGGTTCATCAGAGAGTTGTACTTGGGACTAAGTGCCTGCAACTTTGCTGCAATAACATTAGGCTTCTCGGTATTATTTGCCACAATGGCCGAGGACCCGCCTCTAAACTGCGACCTCACCCTTTGGTCTTTCTCCATTGCTTCCAACACCGGCACCTTCCCCTTTGTAAACCAATCGAAATGGTGCAGCGCCTTGACCTCAATTATGGCAGGTGATAACGAATGCAGAGAAAACCATGCTTGCATTGGATAATATGTCTTCCTGTCTGTGATAATGTGGAGGACAACTTTGTGAGGGTGCAATGAGTTGCGAACAAGGGATGTGGCAACAACAGAGGCGGCAAGCACATTGTCTGAGGCGAGGACAAAGTGGTAGTAGGAGTTGTCAACGAGGGCAGGGACGAGTTCAGCAGAAGGGAGCTGGAGGCGAGCAGCCGCGTTGGAGGCGTGCTCGTTGGCTAACCTCAAGGCTAGGCAGTGAAGCTGTTTAGGTATGCTGCTTGACGCTACATGCCGGTATAAGTACTCTTGGATTTTGGCATTTCGGGTTCTTTGCTCAAGAAGTGTGACCTGAAAAACATGCACCATGTCTTATAACTCAAAATACGCTTGCACCAAATACATGAGACATAATTTGAAGCCAAAATTTGGCGACCCTAGCGTTATCGGAATTTCATTGCCGATTAGAGAAATATCTTATTAATTACTTTTCAAAAAATTAAAACATTGAGAACAGAAGTACCATTTCTCTGAGCTTGACAGCGAAAGTCCTTGCGTCTAATTTTCCATCCTTTATTTCAACCATAAACTCGTCTAAGGACTGAGGAATATCAGATCTTCCTTGTAATTCATGCTTGCCGATGGGTTCTTCTAATATTTGGTATATTACTTCTGGGACCTTTCAGAAATTAATTACATTGTTATAGACGAAAATAAAATCAAGTAATTAAATAATATCTCATCAACCAGAAGTAGGGATTAAGAAATTACCCTTGATTCTCTTCTTCCCAATATTTTTGGCCCTAATCTTTTTCCCAAGCAACCTACCATTGAAACAAAAATTAGGTGTTACAAATAACTGAAAGTAATGTGTCTAATTATTTTTATTTGTACCGTGTTCACCGTCTAGTTTTTTGTCTAGCAATATTTAACTGTTAAAATTAAATGATGTTTTTGTACTGAGGGCTCAAGTTATAACTAGTTAATAAAAATGAGTGCAGGTTACTGTCCTATGCTATTCATCTGATGGCTCAGAATTTATGGTTTTAAAAAAAGAAATTATGGTGGGATAAATTATGATGTTGCAGAGAAAACAGATACAAGCAGCACATTTATCATATCCTGAAAGGAGCTTTGAGCCTTGACACATGACAAAACACATTTTAAATAATTAAGCATATTTAATTATATCATTCAGTAGATTTTAAATAGATTGGATATCGCTTGACATATGACAAAACACATTTTAAATAATTAAGCATATTTAATTATATCATTCAATAGATTTTAAATAGATTGAAGCATATTTAATTATATAATTCAATAGATTGGATATCACATTCACATTCATATTCACGTCACTTAGTACTATGGTCTAGTGGTATTTATTTTCATTTATAAGTTAGAGGTCTTATGTTTGATTCTCACTAAAACAAAATTTGAACCACATTATTGCTAGCTCATTGTGAGGTTAAGCCCAACCTCTATTAGATAATATCTTTTGTTCCAAATTTTTTTTTTTTTTTGACAATGATAATATCTACGGGAGGGGGTGGCCATAGCCTTACAATAGACTAGTAATAATGTGGTTCAAATTTGCGAGAATCGAACCTAAGACCTCTCACTTATGTTTGAAGAGGAATACTACTAGACCGTAGTACTAAATGGCAAAGAAAAATGAAATTCGAGTATTGTTTTTAAACTAAAGCTCAATCAAATCTTTGGTTTCTAACAAGGTTCTAAATGACGGTAAGCGCTAGTGGGGTTGGTGAGCTGGGGCCTAGCGCCTAGGCGGATTTAAGTAAATTTATTATATTTCGTGTAAATAAGTGTCTGTTTATACTTAAAATATATATAATTTCATTATAAACTACAAAATAGAATGATATATATATTAGGAAGTATTGGAACATAATAAAATAATGGGGAACATCCATATAATGTGTATTCATTTAAGTATTCAACAAGTCTCTTACAATTTATTGAAAAAAATAAATGCAAAACGAAAGTTATATATTTTCTGTCTAAGTGAGTCGTAACATAAGCGGGTTTGGATGGGGTAGGTGGGTGCCTAGGAAGGCGCCTCAGCAGGTTTAGGGCCCCTTTCTTAATTTTCAAACGTCTAGGCATTAATCCGGACAGTGGCCAACCGCCTAGCACCTAGGCGGCGCTAGGCAAGGATTTTTAGAACAGTGGTTTCTAAAATAAATTTTGTAAGTACTGAAGTAGTAATTATTTTGAATAACTTCATATTCGTTTATAAGTGCTTTTTAAAATGACTAAAAGCGTTTTTGGTGAAAATATTTTTGAAATCAATCCTTAATAAGAATCCAAGCGGATTCTGGAAAAAACACTTTAAGTGCTTCTTGTCTAGTGGATTTTCCAAAAGTGCTTTTTGAACCGAAAATCAGTTTTACCAAAAGTTCTTTTAAGTTATTTTAAAAGTATGTCAAAATGAGTCATTCGTTAGAATTTTTGTCCTTTATTTAATTCTTCAACTCTTTTATTTAAAAAAAAAACTATAATTGATTACTTAAAATGATCATTGATCAACGTTGTGGTACATTTAAGAACCAATACTCAAAGATTAGTTCTTCAAGAACCAAAACTCATAGATTAGTTCTTCAAGAACCAATATTCCAATTTCTGAAAGAAAACTAAAAAGTTGAACGTTATAAGTTCCTCTTGTTCTTGCAATGACCATTGTTCTAAAAATTCCCACCTAGCGCCGCCTCGATTAATGCTTAGGCATTTGAAAATTAAGAAGGGGCACCTAGACCTGCTGAGTTGTCTGCCTACACCGCCTAGGCACCCATCTAGCCCATCCAGACCCTCCTAAGCACCCGCCTAGGTTGTGACTCGCCTAGACAAAAAATAGATAACTTTCATTTTACTTTTTATTTTTTTCAATAAATTGTAAGAGACTTATTTACACGGAATATAATAGATTTACTTAAATCCGCTTAGTCCACCTAAACGCTAGGTCCTAACTCACCGCCCGACTAGCGCCTAGTATCTTTTAGAATCTTAACAGTGACTGGAATCTTTGTTATCTGAACAACTTTTTCTAGCAGATCATTGCTAGTTGGCAAAGAATTAATTAAATTAATCAAGCCATTGGTTGATCACTATTGTAATATTATTTGCCTGCAATTGATATTTTCAAGACAGAAACGACATGCTTTTATATGAAAACCTAGATAATATTGAACAATCTATGATAAGTCTCTCACGTGTGTATCTTAACACTGGCAATTCTTGTTCCTTTCCGTTTGTATAGGAACTACTTTTCGTATCTACAAGATTACAAATAACTTGAACATGTTACGTTGTTAAATTTTCAAGATAAAAGTACATATTTAAACAAGAATCTGTCCGTACTTGTTTAGATTAATCTATAGAGAGTTGCTAGAATAATATTGGGTTTGAAAGTACATGCACGTACCTAGTGAGGAGCACTTGCTTTCCCCATCAATGGTGTCCACAGCAGTCATCACAAACGCGAACCTGAGAAGAAAAGTGAAGAACAGAATGGAGTAGAAGAGCATCCGGTACGAAAGCCGCCTTAATCCAACTTTCACCTTGATGAATTCCCTCACTCCTTTTCCCGGAAACACCGTCACATGCCTCAGGCTGGGAGATATGTGAAGCTGCATTTTTATTGTTTTGTTCAGGACACCAACAAAACTAACACATACACACCCAAAATGTTATTTTCGGGTGGGAAACGGCAAATTCCAGTCTGATCAGGCAAACCAGGACAGAGTAGAATTGCAAGAAGCAATGTTGTGTAAAAGGAAGGGTTTTGATGGTGTTAAGGTAGCTATCTGTTACCTAACCTTGCTTAGTTTTTGGGCTATAGGAGGAGATATATTAGGGTATTAATAATATTATTACGATGTGGAGAGAGATGAGGAGGGGAGTTGTTAAAGAGATAGAGACATTGGACTGGTGGTGTTTGCTTTTCTGGTTTGGGGAGTTTGGCTTGGTTTTGAAGGAGGGAAGTTGACGAGGGAGATGAGAGAAAAAAACAAAATTAAAATTCATAAAAATAAAAAATTAGAATATAATAATGCACTAAATGTTTGGTTTGGTGTTTGCTTGGCTTTGCCTCCACATGAGGTTCTTGTTTCAAAGAGCTTCGACTAAGAGAGAGAGTGTGTTTGACAGAACAGGGCTTCTACATGGAAAATGACTCTGCCTCTCTCTCTCTTTCTATGGGCTTTTGGTAGTTGGAGTAAAATTGCAGGAACATTTGATTCTAATATTTTTTTTCAAGCAAATTCTCATTGTTTGAACTTTGACTTTCAACTAGAGCAGTTTTGGTTAAAAGTATTTACATTTGCACCCGACATATCGAGTTCAATTTATGGATGGTATTTATGCACATTTTTGGGTTGGTATTTGTTGTATGTTGTTATGTTATCCTTCCTATCCAAGGACACTACCCATGAATTTTTGGGGAAAAATCTACTTGTTGCCATGTATTTATGCTTATTTTCTTTTGTTTTTCCTGCTTTTTTTGTTATATTTGTTATATAGGGTAGGAGGCCGAAAACAACCAATAAACCCAAGTAGGGATATCCATGGGTTGAGCAACTCTATATATTTGGTCCTTCACTAGAAGTTGAGGATGATATAGTTTCAAATCCAGTTAACATACTAAATTTGTTAAATTGTTTATCTTCACTATCCTCACAAATTCAATTTAAGATGTAAATTTATCTTTACACACATTTAAAAAATAAAAACTCAAAATCAAAGCATATGTTCTCTCCTTTCAACAGGTCCCTCGTCTTTCCTTTTAATTCTTTATTATTTAATAGAAATAGAAATTAGTAAGAATTGAAGAGGATTAATTTATCGTTTGAGTTTACAGGATGATGCCTGAAGGACACTGCTAACACCAAAACACTTGCTTTAATGGAGTCTTCATCATCCTCTATAGTGTTGCGCTGGATAATGAAACAAATATTTTTGTGTTGAAGGAGTAATATGTCAGTGGCTGAAATTACGATGGCCTCAAGCTATCAATAACATTCATCACATCTCTTGCCTTTACTTTGATCTGGGAAATCTTACATTCAAAGAAAGGCTTTGAAGTCAAGAAAATGGCAACATCATGATACAATAGTTTACAGACATTACAACAAAACCAAGTTGAAGACTATGCTTCACAAATGCTTCAAAATAGACAAGGAAATGTGGTACAGGTCATCTATGCGAATCGAAAAGAGACTGAGGGCGAATGCAAATAAGATTGCATGAGATCATCTATGTGGTACAAAACTTTTTGTTTTATATGAAGTCTTCCCAGTTCATTTTATGACAACGCCTTAAGTTTTTAGCCAAAATAGAATGCAGGAGAAAAATTGTGTAATGGTAGGAGTTTGATTACTGAGTGTGGGTTTATAATAGATTTTTGTTTTATTGTTACTTTCATCTTATACTTGATAATAATAATGCAGTGAGGTAAAAAAGACAATTTATATTTAAAATTTAAATTGATGTAGAATAATGTTATATGAGTTTAAATAAAATTTTCTAAAAAACAAATTGGTTTGAGATGATTCCTTACATAATGGATATTTCAAATGCATTTAAAGTGTAGTACATCAAATTATTTCAAATACATTCAATATAATGTAGAATCTTTAGGAAAAGTAACCGTGTTTCGAACTCTAAATTCGTTACATGCAGCGCAAGTACCAACTTAGCAAAACTGCAGCAAAGAAGCGTGATGAGATGAAAAAAGTTACCGAGGAGTCATGCAATTTTCCAATACCTATAGAAGATAGGAAGCCGAGTGATATAGTGGTTGAGCATATTTTGGCGCCTTCTCTTGTTGGTCAGAAAGTACCAGAGATCCTAAAGCATCTTATGGAACTTTTGGCTGTTAAAGAGATTACAAGGATTGCTGTTTATGGAGGGGGTTCTAGGAAGACTACGCTGGTGAAAACGTTGAATGATCAGCTTGACACTTCTGGCAGAGTTATCTGATATGGTCATTTCGGTCCCCGTGTCAAATGACCTGGATAGGAAAAAGGTTCAATCTCGATTTGCTGAGAAGTTGAAGAAGTACACCATACGGATAGGTCCAAGCAGCTGCGATTCAATCTATCTACCGACTCAGCATGATGAGAAAAGAGTCATCCTTCGAGGAGTTGGCCTCTTGCAACGAGGCCTCGAGGGGCTATTGTGCACAGAAAGTTCCCTGGACCTGTTCACATGCGGAGGTATAAGTAGTTTATCTGATATAATTACTAACAAGAGTTTGTGTGGCCTGCCAAACTTGAAGTCGCTCACCATATCAAATTGTGACTGCATAACTACATTGTTAGTCGGCGAAACAACTCTTCGGAGCACATTGCCAAATTTGGAGCACTTAACTCTGAGTCACCTGGATAACTTAGCAACATTGTTGGGCACGAAAGTCCCCAGAGGATGCCTTGAAAATTTAAAGACCATCAAGGTGGTGGGATGTCGACTTCTAAAGAACCTCATATCTTTTGCTATACTTCGACTGGTTCCAAACCTCGAAGAAATCAAGGTGAGTGACTGCAGGATGATGAAGCTGCACGTTATCGCGAAAGATTTCTTTGAAACACTTCCAAAGTTGAAAACCATTGAAGTCAGGGATATGGAAAGCTTAAGGACTATCTGTTCAAGGGAATCAGGACTGTCAGCTCTAGAGAGGATAGTGGTGAGCAACTGCCCCAGGGTATTCATGTGCACAAATTGCTATATAGTAAATGTATTTTCTGTCGGATTCGTAACGTAATTTGGAAATTTGCTTGTTTGTAGGCACGAAGATGTGAGATACATACAAAGGTGGTGAGCAAGTCCAAGAATAAGTTCCAGAAACAGTTCATGGGTTTCATCTCCTTGTTTGTAGCAGTAGTCTGTTAGCTGCTTGTAATGTAATGCATAGATAATAACACCATTGTTTGTTGGTGCATTTTGCTTTTTAAGACACCAACAACTTTGTTCTGGTGGAGTTGTCCTTGTCCATAGTTGTACTTTTTGAGATGATATGTTACATTTTTGTTTTGTTCAAAGGACAACACTTTTAGTTACTCTAATATATGAAAATCGGAATTTGAACTTGGCTGCAAAATGGGCAGACATTATTTTATCAATTGACCAAACTCACATATGATATCAACTAGTTCTTTTGATTGTACTATAGTTTTGACAATTCAAACTTAATTTGTAGCCTTGTTCTTGTCTCGGACAGATAAATTAAGAAATTTTAGGTGGTGTTCGATTGAACAAACTAGACCGAACATGAATTTAATTAAAAACCAGATTAATTAGCATCACACCTTTACTAGTAGGGCTTATTTTAAGCCATTTAAAGCGTGATACTTAGATAAGGGAAAAGACAAGCCTATTCAAACTAGTCTCCACAATTATTCGAAGCTAAGCATATTCCGTGCAACAAACAACCCCTTAAAGACTTTGAAGGTTATTATCAATAAGATACTAGAAGAAGTTGTGTGACGACACATCCCTAATTTTACGATTTTATAAATTTCAAAAGAGTGAATTTAGGAAAATGCCACTAGAGGTGAGATTGTTGACCTTTGTTGACCGTCATTTTGTGACGTGTACGAGATTCTATTTTACCGTATTCTCGAAGTACTCAACAATACAAATGTGTAGCCGCAAACGAAATCGAAAATGAAGCTACGGTTAAAATTTTACAAAATATCGAATATCGAAGGCAAATTGGTAATTTCATGTTTAGAGATATTGTGTTGGTTGTTTTGTGAGCCACATGGGCCCACACCCCACTCCCGCCTGTCCCATGTCCCTTCTCTCTTCCTAACACTCTCTTTTTATTTTTCAAACTTTTGGACCACTCTCTTGTTGCCATGTGTCCCTTTCCTCCACACATTCCCAGAGCTCCCTTTCTTCACTCACCTCTCTTGTGCTGCCATGACATCCCATTTCCCTCTAACCCTCTCAGCTCTTTCCTCCCTTCTCTCTCATTTCTCTATTTTGCAAAGACCATCAAAACGCAACCACTTGCCTACTCCGGCAAGACCCCTTATCACAGAAACACCATTGCCGACAGTCATGACACTTTCCCCTTCTTTCATCATCTCTCTCTCTCATCTCTCTTTACCTCGGCTAGCATGGAGATGCAACAGTGCATCACTATCTACGAAGCTAACTCCAGCGAGTTTCGGTTTTCTGACCAAGGGTAAGTCTCAGGAGCCCTCAACTTTAAATCTTATTGTTTTTGGGACTTTTGATAAGGTCTTTAATCTTCACAATGAAATTTGGTAGAGTTAGATGCAGAAAAACATCTCAAGGGAAATTTTCCCAAAAATTTTGGAAGCTTGAACTGTGGCCATTAGGCACTTTCAGAGGATTTTTCTGGCCAACTCTGACTGTGTCTTGGCCCCGATCCAGTATAGATCTATTCCCTGCATTCCTAACTTTATTTAGGTTATTGAAGCACGGATTTTGGTTAAGAAATGAGCTCGTTTGGAGCTCTGGAAGTTGGACCAAAAACTTGCAAAATTGCAAGAACTCGCGAGGAAGGCGAGTACGTACGTACTTGCAAGTGCGTGGGTGCGCGTGGACATGTGGGGTGGTCAGCCCATGGTTGCCTGTGCAGCCACCTTGTGGCGGCGCGTGCGGCAATGTGTGGAGGAAACTGAGGTCCCTCCTTAGGTTTCTCGACGTGCCGAATCCGAATCCGCAATCCGTTTTCCGAAATTCGACTGTTTTAAAATAGTTACTTTATTAGTCATACTTTGAACGAAAACGCGTTTATAAGTTAGTACGTTACGTATTTACATAAATGGTTTCATTTCTAAGTGAAACACATCACAAGAACTCTCGATGCTATGAGGCGGGTTTGACTCGACAACATGATATGTGAGTGGGTATTTTCTTTGATATATACATATATTCATTTAGTTTCCATATATACATCTAGTAATGAATTATCTATGTGATTGCCATAATTAAATTAACGCTCGTAAGAATTGCCTCATGGTTGAGAAAGTATAAATTAATCTTACGGGATGCTCAGGTAAGCTTACTATAAGGGGATGCCTTAATTATATTTATGTTCATGAATAATGTTGCGTCAACTAGAATTATCGAATCATTGTGGCATGGTTATATTTGTGTTATCTGCTCATCATTACTGCACCTGTGTTAGTAATCGCCTAGGTCAAGGCCAGTCTTTCACGTGTATGTGCACATCGCACCGTACGCTCACCTTGGATCCATTGTAGGTGCCAGTCATGTCCTAGATTGCAATAGGCAATTAGGACTCATATGTGCTGTGCATAGCGCCAGTCTTCACATGATTGTAGTACTAGAGAGTATATCATTATTACACTCAGTCCCGTTCATGTCAGAATATCTCTACATGAACTCGTGTGTCAACATATGTTGATGAGCACTCGATATGATATATTTATTTATGCGAGAATATGTGATTATGGACGTCGGGTATTTATTTACGAAAGTTATGGCGTATGGCATTCTTGAAATACAACTGGCTATGGTAAGTATTTTTATACTATACGTAGTATGTATATTTTGAAGACTATACTTGTTTTACGGTAAAGGGTTATTATGTTTTCAAAAAGGTTTTTACAAAGCTTTGTTTTCAGGTCCACTCACCGTTATTTTTTGCCCCTCCAGGTTTTAGTAGCTGAGATTTCGTATCGACGAGGATTCTTGGCAAATCTTGGTATTGGAGAATACCTTCAATGGTATAATTCTCATCCTACTTTACTGTACTTTACTTATGCTCTGACATCACGTGTGAAATGGGTTCATTCTCACTCACCAACGCACTCTTAAAATTAGGCACTTTTAGGTTTAAATTTATTTACATGTTCCACTACACTACACCTTATGGCTTCATCACCTTCCAGGTGGTAGCCAGCACAGCTCGATTCAAAGTCCAAGTGAACATTACGGGTCGGGGTGTGTCAAGTTGGTTTAGCTAGCTAATTAGTTGGTCTGGAAGACAAATGGTACGTTTGATAACTAGTTTTTTTATTTTCCTTTTTTGTGCTTAAGATATGAGTATATAAGGAAAATGAGAATGGAGAAGGGTGATGAAAGAAAAGGAGGTAAGAAACAAAGAAGAAATAAGAATAACTTTTACCAAGTAAAAAATTAAAATAGTTTTTGTTGACAGAAAATTTAGAGAGTGAGGGTAGGAGGGGAATGGCAAAAGAGAGAAAAATGGAGCTTATCTGGTTTGTAATTGCTTGCTTTTTTTGTGGCCAACATTTATTTATACTAATCGCATGGGCTTTACTTGCCCTACAAGATACAAGTTAAGGATTTGATCCCTGATCTTATAGATATTCTACTTGTAGATTTACACAATCACACTCTTAAATAATATCAACTACAACAGTTTTTTGGTTTTAGAATTCTTTTTTATCTCTTCTCTTATATATATGTTTTATGTATCTTTGACCATTCTTCCTCCACTTTTTATACCGCCCGCATCTCCTCTCTATTTCCCTTTTTCTTAAATACAAACCAACAAAAAAGAGAAAAAGAAAAACTAAAATTTAGGTTGCCTAATAAAGAAAATTAAAAACTAGAAAGAAAACTAATCTTAAAGTGAACATAACTTAATATATTAAACTCATGAATGTCATACTAATATATTGAACTCACACTAATATAGCAGTAGTGTTATAGATATCAAATTCAGGTTGCTTGATTTCTATATGTAGCTATCACACTCACTCAAACTATTGTTGAAGCCCTTAGTATCTTTCTTATTACATAACACATCGCATAACGAGAGATACCAATAAAAAGGATGTTTTGGTTATGCGACAGCAGCATCATGAACTTCTTTCATGCTAAAGATAAGAAATTTGAACTTCAACGTCCATGTTTTGTCAAAATCAGAAAAGAAAGGTCCATGGTGACTCATATACTAATCTAGTTTCTGGTCAAAGTTGCTTATTGAAGGTCACTGAGGTTTTTGGTTATAAAATTCAATACCTAATAATTAATAATTATGTTAAAACAATATCGATGATGCTAATGGTAAACTATATTGCGCCAACAAAATTTATCACATATTACACAAAAAGGTAAGAAATTTCAACTTCAAGTGCATTTCTTATTAAATCGAAAAAAAGAATGGTCCACGGTCGGTCATACTCATAGAGATTCCAGTTCACATGTGAATCCTTCTCCAATAATTGAACTTGAGATCCAAGACAAAAAAATTCTCATGTATGCATGAACAAGTGGCGTATTGTAAAGCCCTCTGTCCAAAAATGATAAAACAGATTGCATGAATAGCCAAACTTCAAATGGAACCCTTGTAATAGAGTTTGTTTCCATTTCACTCGAACGAGTTGAAAGAAAGAAACTGTAGCTAGCTGCTGCCCGCTGGCTCCTGCAAAACGAAATATGTTTTTGGCTGTCCTTAAAAAAAAAACGTGGTGTACCACCTGTGTTCCAACCATAATAAAAAATTTCTCACAGTAGTAGGTCAAAAAAAAAAATGGGCGGGTAACTTCTTTGAAAACAATTCAGGTTTCAACTAAGTGGTTGAATTAGTTTTGCTGATAAAGTGTGGACTAAAAACACTTAAAAACTCCATTTCAAAGACGAAACTTAATCTGGATCAATTGTTCCATAGTGCATTTTTGCTCACCGCCATGTTAATAGCCATTAGATGAGTATTATTTAATCTATTTGCTACACGAGTCTTGAAATTTAAACTAATCTAACGACAATTAATCTATTCACACATTGCGCTATATATGATATTTAAGTTGCTCTTGTTGTCGAGCACAGGGGGAGGGGGGTTGTGTGTGTGTGTGGACAATGGACATCTATCCAAGAAAAAGATGTATATATGTCTTTATTTTTTTGGTAGCTCCTTGGTGCAGATGTATGTCCTTAGACGACTAGTGTGTCTTTGTGCTTTGTAGCTTCTATAGTGTTAACATCCAGAAATACGATGGCAGTGTCATTTCCAAGGAAGTTGGAAAATTTTGGTGTATAGTTACTCAATTTTTTATTTAAATGCACTGCCGATGGTTCTGTCATAATCTCGGAATATCGTATCACATCTCCCACTCCGGACATAGTATGGAATGTCGTTACATACTTGGCATTGTTCCTGTTTGAATATCAGGGAGCCGGGAAGGCCGAGTAAAACGAAGACCTGCTTCACATTGTGATGTAAATAACTAAGGACTTAAAGTTAATGAAGCCAAGTAGAACATTTAATCACATTTTCCTCATTTAGAACTTTGTATCAGATGTCACTAAAAACAAGTTTTTCTTGTTCTTGTTTCCTTCTCTTTCCCTTGCTTCCTATTGGTCCCTCGATGATTTTCGCTCCTCATTATGTTGCTTATTCTAGGTTTCTGAGACTCTAAATATTATGGCCAACTTAACACTGCCTATAAAACTATATGCTTAACAACGATTAATTTGTAATCTCAAACCAACTATCTGAGCTCCCATAACTCCAATAGGGTATCCACTCCCTCCCCCTCAAACCCCAAACATAAAAAAAAGGTACTAGTATTGTGAAACCATGGAAACCTTGGGTGCTTCCATCGTTGAAGTTAGTAGGTGTGTAGGCAACTCAGTGTGGTCACTGTTTTCCATCCCGAAAATTTTCCAGAAAAACATCCAAACTTTGAAGGAGGAGCTGCAGAAGCTCTCTCGCAGAAAGTATGATATAACAGAAGAGATCGATGTATCAAGATTAGAAGGGAAGCACCCCCCTTGCCAAGTTATAGAGTGGCTTGAAAGGGTTGAGAAGATCGAACGTGAGGTGGAGGGGATTGAACATGAAGGTCGGCTACTTTTGGAGGCAGATCCCATTGATTCTCCCTTCGGCCCGGGTTGTATGCTTGACTCTAATATGCGGCGCAAGTACCAACTTAGCAAAACTGCAGCAAAGAAGCGTCATGAGGTGAAAAAAGTTACCGAGGAGTTATGCAGTCTTCCAATACCTATGGAATATAGGAAGCCAACTGATATAGTGGTTGAGCATATCCCGGCGCCTTCTCTTATTGGTCCAAGCAGCTGCTATTCAGTCTGTCTACCGACTCAGCATGATGAGAGAAGAATCATCCTTCGAGGGGTTGACCTCTCGCATCGAGACCTCGAGGGGCTATTGAGCACAGCAAGTGCCCTGGACCTGTTCACATGCGGAGGTATAAGTAGTTTATCTGATATAATTACTAACAAGAGTTTGTGTGGCCTGCCAAACTTGAAGTCGCTCACCATATCAAATTGCGACTGCATAACTACATTGTTAGTCAGCGAAACAACTCTTCGGAGCACATTGCCAAATTTGGAGCACTTAACTCTGAGTCACCTGGATAACTTAGCAACCTTGTTGGACACAATAGTCCCCAGAGGATGCCTTAAAATTTTAAAGACCATCCAGGTGGTGGGATGTCGACTTCTAAAGAATCTCATATCTTTTGCTATACTTCGACTGGTTCCAAACCTCGAAGAAATCAAGGTGAGTGACTGCAGGAGGATGAAGCAGGTTATCACGAAAACTTTCCCTGAAATGCTTCCAAAGTTGAAAACCATAGAAGTCAGGGATATGGAAAACTTAAGGACTATCTGTTCAAGGGAAGCAGAACTGTCAGCTCTAGAGAGGATAGTGGTGAGCAACTGCCCCAGGTTGGTGAAGCTTCCCTTCGCAGCCCGTCATGCAGTGACTATTAAAGAGATTAGAGGAGATTTAAACTGGTGGAGAACTGTTAAATGGAATGATCGTGCAGATAAAATCAGTCTTCAGCAACGATTCCAAGCGTGGGCAGACACCGGGCTGCAGCCGATGGAGGATTAAATAGGTAGAGATAATTATCTCATAGCATCATCATCTCTTGTAGTTTTTTTTCATTTTGAGTTTACGTAGTTTTCATCTACGAATCCAACAATCCATGCCATTTTTTTAATAGCAATGATATTCGTGTGCACAAATTGCTATATAGTAAATGTATTTTCTGTCGGATTCTTCGCTTCATCGGAAATTTATTGCTTGTTTGTAGGCATGAAGATGTGAGGATACATACAAAGGTGGTGAGCAAGTCCAAGAATAAGTTCCAGAAACACTTCATGGGTTTTATCTCTTTGTTTTTAGCAGTTGTCTGTTAGCTGCTTGTAATGTAATGCATAGATAATAAATAAAGTGTGTGCGCGCTTTTTTCAGAGGATAAATTATGGGAATTGGATCCCTGAATGATGAGGATCCTCGTGATCACACAGCATAGACCGTTAAAGTTTGATCCAACAGCTATAAATATGAGGGTCCTAATAAAATTATAATAATTGTAATCGTTAGATCAAAATCCAATAACCTGTGTTGTGTGATTATAAAGATCCCCACCATTTGCTCCGGAGGGGATTCAATTCCTAAATTATGTTTCATTTTTGTTTTGTTGACAAGACAACATTTTGAATTAATTACTCTAGTAAATGAGAATCGAGAATTTGAATTTGGCTGCAAGAAAAGGACAGACTCATTACTCTACCAACTGGCATAATCCACGCATTCTATCGAATAGTTCTTTTGATTGTACTACAGCTTTAACAATTCAAAATTTGTAGCCTTGTTCTTATCTCAAGCAGATAAATTAAGTAATTTTAGGTAGTGTTTGATTGACCGGACTAGAATGAACATAAAGTTAATTAAGAACTAGATTAATTACAATAACACCTTCACTAGTAGGATTTAAAGCGTGATCCTTAAATGAGGGAAGGGCAAGCCTATTCAAACCAATCTCCAGAATTATTCCAAGTTACGCATATTCCGTAAACAAACAACCCCTTAAGGACTTTGAAGGCTATTGGTTTAGCTAATTACATGGAATTTGCTTGCCCTACAAGTAATACAAGTTATAAAGGGATTTGATACCCAAATATTATTAGAATTCTACTTCTAGATTCACGCAACCACTCTTTATAATATTAGCTACAACATTTTTTGGTTTTTAGTTTTCTTTTGGTATCTCTTTTCTTAGTCATATTGTCTACATATCTTTGACCATGCTTCCTCTACTTTTAATACCACTCATATCTCTTATCTATTTTCCTTTTATCTTAAACACAAAAAATAAAATAAAAACTAAAACCAGGTTGCCTAATAAAGAAAATTAAATACTAAAAAGAAAATTAAATTTTTGAAAGTGAGTATAACTTATTATTATATTAAATTTTTGAGTGTCATACCAATACATTGAATTCATACTAATATTACAGTATTGTTTTAGGTATTAAACTCAAGTTGCTTGATTTCTATATATAGCTATCATACTCACTCATTATTGAGAGCTTTAGTATCTTTCTCGTTACATAACAGTTACATAATGAGATAATGTTTTGGTTATGCGACAGCAGCATCATGAACTTCTTTTAGATTTTTCTTTGCTGGGATGCCAAAAATAAGAAACTTCAACTTCAAGGTCCTTTTTTTGTCAAAATCAGCTAAGAAAGGTCCATGATGACTCGTATACTTATCTAGGTCAAAGTTCCTTATTGAAGGTGACCGAAGCCTTTAATGATAAAATTCAACACCTAATAACTAATAGTTAAGTTAGGATAATATCGATGATGCTAACACTCGACTATAACGAGCCTTGTTGATGCATAAATCAACAAGGTTTTGGAACAACATAAATTGCCGGTCACCTGGTGAGAATAATATAGAGATAGGAAGCAAACACAAGATATACATGGTTCACCCTAAGTTTGGCTACATTCACGGGGTAGAGGAGTTCTCATTAATAGTGAAGAGTTTACACAATACATAAGTTCAAGTATAATCATCATTAATGGGTTCTAATGATGAGTTTAAGTACAATAATGACATTAGGGATTAATTGTCGAAGAATGGTCTTCTTTTATAGTTGATGAGAGTCTCTGACTTTCGCCCGCGATTGGTGTGGGACTCTAGGAGTTTTACTCTGACGTTAACACGTGTCGTGCTGTGATTGACTTCTTGGTTGGAGAGAAACTCTTATGCTTCGGCAAAGGTGCCTTAGCATGAACATTTCAGTGGATCTTTGAAGATATAAAGTTACTGGTGCTTAATAATTTCGGGATTAGTCAACTATGGTACAAAGAAGCCTAAGGCCTCGTTTGGCAGCTTAGACTGTACTAACTATTTCAGTCGGATAAAATAAAGTCACCAGATAGTACTAACTAAATTAGTCAGGCGTTTAATGAAAATCGGACTAAAAATCTTATTATTTATACTGCCACTGTACAGAATAGGAACACTTCAAACTATTATTATTTTTGAAACTTTGATGATCAATGAAAAAGAAAGGAGAAAAATTGCTTCAAACCAAAATAATTTTAGTAACTTTTCACATAACAACCTATGTTAAATGGAAGAAATGAAAAACTAAAGAAAAATTGAAGTAAAAAAAAAAAAAGAATTAATCATACACCGACCAAATTTTGGGATAGGCATATCAGATAAGCATCTTTGATCCGGCATGATGAACCTTTCAATCCAACAAAACTACCTCTCAAATTCTCATACTACTCTTCCAAGAACCAGATTAAAAGCTCCAAAAATGGCAAAACCAAATAAAACCCATATCAAATTAGATGAAGATTCACTTTAATTAGAACCCATAAAGGCAGAAAGCTTAAATACCCATGAAGAAGCAAGCTTTTTATCCAAAAATCAGGGCTTTGAAGGAGTCTGCAGTTAAAAAGACCAAGTCCTCGGTGATGGGGATGAAGAAAACCCAAAAGGCAGTGATAAGAATTTGTGAAATCAATGGACAAGGAGAGAATTTGAAGAAGAAGAAATACTTTCAGAAGAAGATGGCCGCACAAGCAGATCGCGAGAGAAAGGGAAAGAACGATGAAATTCTGTTTTATCATTTTTGAGAACCCGACTAAATACTACAGAGGTTTTTGAGCGGAAAAGTTATACGGCGTGAGCCGTATAAAATGGGCGGGCCCTGATAAATTAACCGACGGCTATTTAATATGTAGTGGCACCAAACATCTGATTCGTTTTAAATAGTCATATATGATGTCTAATACTGCATGTCAAAAGAGGTCTAAAAGCTTATCACATAGATTCGAGTCGAAAATATTTCATCATCTAAAAGCTTTAATAGTCATACCTCATTCGTACATTTCTTGTCAAGTCGAAAAAAGAGCGTTCCACGATGACTCATACTCCATAGAGATTCGAGTTCATATGTGAATCCTTCTCCAATAGAAAACCGCAAGTCAAGTTGAATAAAGCGGTATGTTTCTTTCGTCATTCTAGTAAGTTTAGATGAAGATGGTGACTTTGGATACGTCTTTGTACGTATATAAATTTGGCTGAGATTTCTTGAATCCAAAGCATCAGTTTTCTCATGTGTTTGCCTACTGAACCTTATTAAGCTTCTGCCATGGAAATTGTGGTTGAAATTTTGGGTAGTTTAGTGGGAGAAACCGTCCCGCATTTATGCTGCTGTCTATGTTATGCCGCCAAAGACTCTGCAAAATTCCGAAACAACCTCGACGAGTTAGACAAGGAGATGAAACATCTTGTGGATCTTCGGAATGATTTCCGGCAGCGGTTGGTCGTATCAGCAGCTGAGAAAGATGGAAAAGCACCAGCAAAAGTAGAAGAAGAGTGGCTTAGAGAAGTGGAAGAGCTTGAGCACAAAGTGAGTTTGTTGCAAACAGTAGGAGTGATTGTGATGAACAACAACAAGAAGAAGTTCTCAGGGAGATCGAAATCCTGCAGATTAAAGCTACGAGTTTCCCAGAAGCTAAAGATGGGCAGAAAAAGTGAAGAATGGGTCAGAAAATATTAGTATTTTATGGTTATTTGATTTTTGGGTATGCTTGTTAGTTTAGAAGATGGGTCTACCTCATCCGAATTAGGGTTTCTAAGTTTTGTTCTCTATAAATATAGTTTATAGGTTAGCATGAATAACAAGTTAGTCACAATGTAACATCTTGAGATCTTTTAGCCGTTTCGGCTTCTTGTTTGTTTAATAATATTTTTATTATTTTATAGTCTTGTTCGTTGGCACCTCCTAAGAGTTTTAGGTTGTATTGTGTGAAACAAAATTTATTGCTTAATAAGAAGCATCAACTTTCTAAATTTGCAGCTAAACAGATTTACACAAACATGTTACTTTGTACTAATCCGATACGTAAACACGGAGAACAATACGTACATGTAGATGTAGTGTTGTTTCTAGACAGCCTTTTGTTTTCCTTTTTTTTTGAGCTGTTTCTCAAAGGCAGCATGGACAACATTGGAAGTATTTCGTGGATTCTTTCCATCGCCGCAAAACAAAACAAACTGAGCGGCAGGTATCAAGGTAACGGAAGGAGTCAAGGACCGAGATTATATACCGCTGCAGAAGAGGACCCGAGAGCGCTTGTTTCGTTGAAAGGTAAGGATCCCGTGATTGACCAATTGGTTACAAGGATAGTATGATCGACTGAATTCTTGTTGCTTGGCTGGGGCTAGTAGGGAAGAGGATTGTTTTGCTTGAGAGTCAAGGGAGGCATGCCACAAAACCTCCGGACGCACCGACGACTGGCCTAGGGAGGTAACCTTTGCAGTGCAGTCCGTAGATTGCCCGTAGCACTCGAAAATAATACTACCTCGATCACATGTTCATATCAACACAAGTTGGTTTTATTTCGTTTTCTAAAACACAGTTCCTAATCCTAAACGTCAACAGCAACACAACAACCGCAACCTAACAACCAAGAGTATGGCAGAATAACGCGTTATTACAATTTCTCTTGTTAAGGCGCTGCGTCGGGCAGTCGACGCCACAACGATTTTCTAAAAGAAATCTATGAAGCTAA